TACAATTGGATGTGATGTAGTTGTGCTGAAACCCTTAAAATCTCTAGCAGAAATTTGCATGCATTCTGTGACATAAAACCGCAAAGCACCGAGAAGTTGACTTATCGGCGACACAATTACAGACAGGACAGACAAAGTACATAAGTAACAATCAAGTGTTCGTAGACTTCTTCGAAAATTAAGTTATAAACTGGCCTACGTGCCATTTCTATTTTATTATTTTTCGGTCTACCGACAACAACAATTCTTTACACAGTGAGGTTAGATCAAGTCTTTAAACGGAGTTTAAAGCTATAAACGCCTAAAATCGGCCAGTTCGTTTCTTTAAACGCGTTTAAGCACAAACCAAGTTTAAGCTTCTGGTGAAATCCGTTTCGCGCGTCAAACTGAGTTTCAGACGTTAAACTGGTTCGTTTAAAGATCGCTTGATGAAAATGGGTCCATCAGTGTTTTCCTTTGTAACTTGTGCGGCTTTTGAGATTTTACTTCAAATCCCAAATGCAGACTAGCTTCCAAAGTGGAGGTTCCGCCCCTTAAACTTTTGTCCTGCAGCCACTGATGCTTCCTCAATCAAACCCATAAATTCCATTGGCAAACTTTTCGGCCTCTGGTAATTTTTCAAATGCATGTCTACAATTTGTTTAATTGGACAAAAGCCTGCACTTCCAAGTGCAACATTCGGACTATTACCCATATGGATTTGCCCCAGTAATTTTTTTCTGAAAAAGTGGCATTTGCAGGTGAAGGAAGCGACTACCTCAATGTGGCAATTAAGGAGGGCTGCCTCAGTTTAACGATGGGGCTGGCGAACGGGAAGCAGGAGATGCAAATTAAGCCGAACAAGGTGCGCTTCGACGACAATCAATGGCACAAAGTGAGCGTACATCGACGCATCCAAGAGGTAATTATTAATGTTCCTGTCTGGAAAAGCTCACATTGAAACCGTGCTCTTTCTCCCGGTTGCAGATATCAGCCATCACCAGCTTTTGTCGGGTAAGTTTGTGTGGTAATGCATCCTTTTCAGCGAGTTTTCGCAGTCTTTTCTACATAACTCTTGCCATTTTCAATATTTTGCAAAAATTCGAAAAGTGTTCAATAGCTAATGGCTTCTGCTAGAACATCTGCTTCACGGGCGGAAGTCGCATCTGCAGCCATTTCGGAGATAATCGACTTTGAATTCGGACAGCTGTAAAGTTAATGTGTCCAGTGTTTGCTCGCCCTATTTGGCTCATAACTCATCTAACTGTCGATATTTTGCAATATTTAATCAACGGTTTTATAGCCAATTGACTTCTTCATAGCTCTTATTTCAGAGGCTTAAGTCCTATCTTGTCATTTCCGAAATAATCAACTGAATTAGAGCAGCCGTGAAGTCAGTTTGTCTGCTTTCGGCTCGCAGTCTTTTGCCCACAAACCAGGCAATTTTGGCATTTTGGAAATTTGAGAAAAGCGCTTGGTAGCAAACTGAAAGTCCCATTCGATTTTAGTACTTTAATTCGAATCTGGACGGGTTTCGGAAATAATACATTTTGAATTTGAGCAGTTGTAAAGGCGCCAGGTTTGCAGTCAGCTTGTAGTCTTTTGCCTATAACTCAGGCAATTTTTGATATTTTCTAAATTTTCAAACAATTTTTGGTTGAAAAGTTAATTACCGATAAATTGTGTTTGAGAAGCTTAATTCGAATCAGTAGCCATTTGGGACATGATAAATTTCGAACTCGAGCAACCGTAAAGACAGTATATCTGGTGTTGGCTAGCAGTGTTCCGCCCATAACTCCGGCAATTTTTCGTATTTTCTAAATTTTAAGTGCCATTTTTGTAGCCAATTGACATGCCGATAGATTTGATTCTATGACTTTAATCCGAATCTGCAGCTGTTTCGGAAATAATCAATTTTGAACTCGAGTAACTGTAAAGTGAGAAATTTTGCTCTTGATTCCTTGTTTTGCTCATAACTCCGGTAGCTTTCAACATTTTTAAAAATTTAGAAATACGGTGGAAATAAAATTATTTCTTCTACATGCGATGTTTCAGAGCCTTGACTTATAACTGTAGTCGTTTCGGAAATATTCAGTTTTAAACTCGTGCAGCTGTAAAGTTAGCAGCTGCTATCGGCGCGCAGTATTTTGCCGATAACTTAGACAATTTCTGCAATTTTCAAAATTTTAAGAATTATTTTAGTAGCAAATTGAAAGGCCGATTGATTTCGTTTTCTTACTTTAGCCCGATTCTGCGAGCGTTTAGGAAATAATAAATTTTGAATTCGAGCAGCTGTAAAGTCGGTGTGTCTGCAATCAGCTCGTAGTCTTTTGCCTATAACTCAGGCAATTTTTGATATTTTCAAAATTTTGAAAAACTTTATGGTAGCACATTAAGTTACCTATAAAATCTGTTGGAGACTGTTAATTCGAACCTACAGCCGTTTGGGACATAGTCAAAATTGAACTTCAGCAGCTCTAAAGTCAATGTATCTGCTGTCGGCTCGCAGTGTTTTGCCAATAACTCAGTGAATTTTTGGAATTTTGTAAGTTTTAAACAACTTTTTGGTATAAATTTACATATGGGTGATAGATTTGGTTTGACAGTCTTAATTCACATCTGCAGCGGTTTCATAAATAATCAATTTTGAACTCGAACTGCTGTAAAGTGTGTGTAAAGTGTTTACTGTCAGCTCATATGCTTTTGCCCATAACTTTGGCAACTTTTTCAGTTTCCAAATAGTATTTTCCATGTGTAAAAGGCACAAGAAATAGATCCGTTTCTGTTATTAAAAGGGAACTGGACCAACGGGTCGGAAAGTGCGGAAACTTGCCGGGCTTGGAAAGTTCCGCCGGTCTTGATAATAATTAACTAATTGCGGATGGGCGTATTTAATGGACGAGAATTTCATTATTGGGCCGAGTTGGAACTTGAGCGGTAATGGACTCGATGCGGTCAGACGCTTTCCAGATTTTATGCAAAATTCATCGCCTTGAACACAGACGCCTCTTCGAAACGTTCAAATATGCAAACAATGCGCTCGACTTGAAATTAATGGATCGGTCTTGACCAGTGAATTTTCCAGCGCAACATTCGAATGAAGACGAACTCGACTAAAGTTGGAATGAAAAGGGAAAAACGACGATAACGAGCGCAACGGCAAAGTAATAATCCTGCTATGAAAGAGACCGTGGCGCACATACTTAAAACACGGCCTCCGCACACACCCGAAGCCAATCCTATTATGCCAATTACCGTCCTCGGGCGGTTTTTGTTTAGGAAAAATCCTGCGTGTTTAACGAAGAAAAATGTTTTCGGCCTATAAGCCCTCGTTAACGGTTCTTATCATTTCCGGCGAAAGGACGTGGTTTTTTGAAAAATGATGCCGCCGACCTGCTGTAAGGCTTTAAACTGGCCTTTTTCGCTTTATAAATCGCTTTTTAATGTTACTTCTGGCCGCGTTTGTACACTCTTAGATTTTCGTGGGGCTTCATGCCTAAAATTATTTTCTCTTTCACACTAAAGGAGAGGAGCTGTTCAATGCCCTCCTAGATGGCCAGACCTAACTGCGATAGATTTTTTCAGCGGTTACCTTAAATGGAAGGTTTACACATCAAAATTGGCGAGTCCGAGCTGATTTCTTTCTCGGGATGAAAATAATGAAATAATTTGATGGGACGCCCCGCATATTCCCGCAGGTCGCATTAAATTTGTCACACACCATGTTCGAAGACACTTAGGATTATTACCTAATTTAAATGCGAGATTCGAATCTTTAATATGACTCCGATCTGATCCGGTAATGCCGTAATGGAAAAAGTAATCTTGTAATACTGGAAACTGGGTGGTTTGGCCCAAATCTACCGGATTGTTCTCGACTGAAGCGACGCGCTGCGCCACCGTGATTTTTATCAGACAATGGAAATTTATCTTCATCTGCGTCCTATGCTTCTACCGGGTGGCCAACTGGGGAAAACGCATTTTAATGCCTGATCTTAAAACTGGTCGGAGCCGTTGTTGGGCCACCCTCTACATGCACTAATGATTGGCTTTGTTCCAGCTATCGGCAGTGGTCGATGGCGTGTATGCGGACCATTCGCACATTGCAGGAAAATTCACCATGCTCTCATCAGGCAGGCTGTACGTGGGAGGCAGCATAAATACCAGAGCGCTGCCTGGGGCCCGAGTGCACAACAATTTCGTGGGCTGTATGCGGAAGGTGAGTTGGGATAGGTCTGGAATGTGTGGGAGTCATTGGGGGCGAAAATCCCCATTCCTGACTGTTTTCAAGGCTTTCCCGGTTATCCTCTGACAGCGGCGTAGTTTGGTTTAATATTTCGGGGTGCACAATGCTGGAAAATCGCCTCCTCCCGTGAATTAATTGGGCAATTTATTGTCGTCAACCACACCATTTCGTTGCTTGTTGAGGTCGAAGCAAAAAAGCACTTTTGCAATTTTTTCGTACAGCGCATCGCTTTGGAGTAAAACAATCAAGCTCGTTTCCGGTTAGTAAGTTCGTAATTTTCGTTTTCGGTTTTTGCCTAATAGACTAGTGCAAATAAGTTTTTTGAGAAAAAAACATTAATAATAGACCAGATGGAAAATGGGATTGGGGTTCCAATTTGCAAAAAACTCGGATGCCAATACCAAACAGCTTGTATTGTTCGAAAAAATACATTTAATAATATTTGGTGGTGCAATCAGTTCAATCCCCATTACCTAACGGGAAATTGTAGGAAAACAACGCCGGTTGTCATGGATACCGAGCAACGTTTCTCTGGGGACAGGTCTGTGTGCACCATACGTCGGTTCGGAATAGAATATCAACTGATTTGATTCAGGGGCGGATCCGGCTTTAAAGTCAGGGGGGTCTTCTGTTATCCATGAAATTAGAAAAATGATCGTCGTTTTGTGCAAGGGTGGCGCAAGATTATTGCAAAATTTCTTGTTTTCCGTGCCGTTTTGCAAGTTTCTCGGAAGCAAAATGAGCAAGAACGCTCGTTTTTACATCATTCCAGACATAACTAAATGAACTTTATTCGAAGTTTTTCAAGAACCATTCGAGCCACAGAATTCGTTTTGGCTTCGTTGGATAGAGAATTGAAAAGTCGATCCAGGCGTAACAACGTTAGTGAGGAAATTCGAGTAGTTTTGACCCAGAAAGCGAAATTTGAATATCAAACACTTAGGTTCAAGGTTATGCAAACATTTCATGTTTTCCGTCCTGTTTTTGCTCATATCTCGGAGGCAAAATGAGCAAGAACGCTCATTTGTACATCATTCTAGAGAGAAGTAAATGGCCTTTTTAGAAAGTGAACCAT